GGGGGGGGGGGTGAAGTGGTGGCCAATGAAGGTCAGTAGATAAGTAAAAAGGGGGACTGGTTGATGGTGGCCGATGAAGGTGGGTAGATGATGAAGATAGAAGAGTGGTTGGTGGTGGCCAATGAAGGTGGGTGGATGATGGAGATAGGAGAGAGGTTGGCGGTGGCCAATGAAGGTGGGTGGATGATGAAAGGAGAGTGGTTGTCGGTGGCCAATGAAGGTGGGTGGATGATGAAGATAGGAGAGTGGTTGGCGGTGGCCAATGAAGGTGGGTGGATGATGAAGAAAGGAGAGTGGTTGGTGGTGGCCAATGAAGGTGGGTGGATGATGAAGAAAGGAGAGTGGTTGGCGGTGGCCAAGGAAGGTGGGTGGATGATGAAGAAAGGAGAGTGGTTGGTGGTGGCCAATGAAGGTGGGTGGATGATGAAGAAAGGAGAGTGGTTGGTGGTGGCCAATGAAGGTTGGTGGATGATGAAGTAGGGGATGAAAATACAACACTCACCGGTCCCTCTCTGTTGCGGCTGGAGTCGCTTTGTGTTCACCGTATTTTCTGCCCATTGGCCAAAGTGGGTTATGCCAAGATATGTCTCTAGGAGGGGGACAGGAGGTAATCCTTGCTCCACCTCCACCACACCCCCACCTCCATCACAACCTGCACCCCCTCTTCTGACCTCTATGGCTTCGGTAAAGCACAAGAAAAGCCAGCATTGCCGGGCGAGATGCGGCACGTTCCCGGGGATGAACTCTTTCACAAAGTCCACCCCAACATCTCTCGACGTGTAATTTCCATACCGGAGGACTCCTCCTGGCAATTGTAGCCACAGGACATGGACTGGACCAGAGAATGACATCAATTTTAATGTGTTTTTTTTTACAAATTTGTAAGTAATTTGTTTCTTTTAAAGAATTTTAGCAATGTTCTTCTAATGTGTGAATATACATTTGCTCATTGCATACGACGAGTCGGCTTCCTGCTTAGCCTTCTGCCCCGACAGCTAAACATCGCACCTAGTCAAGTCCGTTGACCCGAATCCAAATGATCGAGGTCAGGTGTTTCCGGTTCAGGGTTCTGGTCACCCTACAACATACAGTTTTAGACAATTGAGCTCTTCCAGCCTTGTGGTCACAGTTGGGTGAAGGCGCTTTTCTGTTCCACCATCACTGTCCCCGGTGTACAAAGCCAGCTCCATAAAGACATGGTGTGACCAGTTGGGTGAAGGCCCTTTTCTGTTCCACCATGACTGTCCCCGGTGTACAAAGCCAGCTCCATAAAGACATGGTGTGACCAGTTGGGTGAAGGCCCTTTTCTGTTCCACCGTGACTGTCCCATGTACAAAGCCAGCTCCATAGAGACATGGCGTGACCAGGTGGGTGGAGACCCTTTTCTGTTCCACCATGACCGTCCCCGGTGTACAAAGCCAGCTCCATAAAGACATGGTGTGACCAGTTGGGTGAAGGTCCTCTTCTGTTCTACCATGACTGTCCCCGGTGTACAAAGCCAGCTCCATAGAGACATGGTGTGACCATTTGTGTGAAGGCCCTTATCTGTTACACCATGACCGTCCCTGGTGTACAAAGCCAGCTCCATAAAGACATGGCGTGACCAGTTTGGTGTAGGTCCTCTTCTGTTCTACCATGACCGTCACCTATGTACAAAGCCAGCTCCATAAGGACATGGTGTGACCAGTTGGGTGTGGAGGAACTGGAGTGTCCTACACAGAGCCCTGACCTCAACCCAACTGAACACCTTTGGGATATTTCGGACCAGACTGAGAGCCAGGTCTTCATACGGTGCTATGGGTTCTCCCCATGTGACAGCACTGGTGCATGGTGATTGGCCCAGCCCCATCATGCTCCTTGTAAAGGGGCGGTAAAGGATAATGTACAGTAGATGGCAGGTGGGTAGGAAAGCATTAATTGATGGGGGCAGTAAAGGGTTAATGTACAGTGGATGGAGGGCAGTAAAGGGGGTAATATATGGGGGGGGGGGGGGGCAG